TTGGACTTCGTGGCAGGTATAAAAGTTGTTCTTCTCTTTGAGATCTTCATTTTTATGAAAATTGAGAATTTTTAGAAATAGTGAAATTTTTCTACGAACTGTGGCGGCCGGCCACCACGCGCAACGGCGCGTGGGCCGAGATTCCACTTGACCTTCCTAGGCTAATTTTGAAGCCCCAATTCCACATTTAACATCCGTTTAGTGAAATTATGATTTTTAATATAGTTTCATAGTTGACCACCTAGTTGGCCATTAAGAGATCCTTACATGAATTGACGATCCGACTGTTGGATCATCACCAAATTTTAATACATTATGGTATGTAATATTTGAGGATATTAGAAACTTACAGATTGGAAATTTGATGTATTGATCTTCCCAAATTGGATTTGTAAGTTCGTAAAATAAAACGTTGACCGCCACTTGAATTGGAAATTGACGGAGATCCAACCGTTGAATCGTAATGAAACTTTAGTATTATGTTCTAGAAGTTTAATGTGGATCTTTAGAAGTTTCGGATCGGAAGTCCTAGATGTGGATCTTCGGGATTGAGTTACGTAGGGTTGTGGACCCTACTGTTAATCTTCGACCGAAGGTTGACTTTTGGTCAATGGATCTCAAATCATTTAAGAACATCCTTGGAATGTGTTTGACGTAAACTATGGGTTCTATAAATAAGAGTTTTGAGACGTGACTAAATAATTTTTCTAGGTGAGGATCGTTCATGACGTCTTGATATTCGTGCTTGGGAGTTGTAGCACGGACCTAAGGTGAGTGGGTCTTTTCCCTTCTATCGTGTATATATATATAAGATTGACATCTCCACAAACGTTTATAAATTGAATATTTCATATAATTTCTGTGAATGCTTTGGAGGACTAGTACGAACTACGAATGACTTGATCTCTGTTTAGGGTACGTAGGCAGTCTAACTAGACGTTAGATGCAACCATATATAATAAATGAGACTAAATAATTGAGACAATAGCCTTGCTTGGGGAATTGAGCAATGTGAGGGACATTGGTGGAAAATGTGAGCTTTAACCTTATGATTTGGTGGTTAAATATTGGTCATAAATCAATGTGTGAAGAATCAAGAAATTAAAGTAAGGAAACGTAAGTAATGATAGTTAATTAAACTAGTGTCTAGTTGGGCTTATCACCGATAATTATTCCCGAAAATAAATAGTTTGGAAGTGGAGCGTTATAGATTATGCATTTCACGCCATGTTGTGTGTGTGTGTATATATTTGGAAACACTATGTTATGGTTGAGTATTAGATTGCATCATGGCATATCCATATGTATATTATGTGCACATAATTATTGTGAATGCTTTGAAGTGCAAAGGTGAACGCAGGACACACAGGTAAGTTCAGGTGAGCTTATGGTATTAATTGAAATGATGGAGTTATGGCATGACTACATTTATGTTTTAGGCAACTCCAACATTGTCATATAGGTTGCAATAATAGGCAACTCCGACCTTGTCGTACAGGTTGCCCATGAGTCGTACATGTTATATTAGATGCAGTTAGAGCTCATAAACCTGCATCCCGGTGTTAGTGCTCCTGCCCGTGGCCAGGGCACAGTCCTTCACGTGATGTTCACCTCCTGCACCTTACGGTCACCTTGGATCCAAGGTAGGTGCACAGTCCTGTCATACAGACCACAATAAGTGGTTCCGACTCGTAGGTGATCCACGATTATTCGCACAGTCTTCATGTGATCGTAGCACGCACAGTCTTTAAGTGATCGTAGCACGCACAGTCTTCAAGTGATAGTAGCACTTGAGTGTATTTATTTACACCCAGTCCTGTCTTATAGACCGCTTTTAGGTGGTTCCGACTCATGTACAGGTATACTTATTGAGCTATGGATGAGCCGTACAAGTCACGTGAGGTGACTCCGGCTAGCATGTTGATGAGTTATTAATTTAGCCGTACAAGTCACGTGAGGTGACTCTGGCTAGCATGTTGTTGAGCTATTGGCTAGCATGTTGATAAGCTATTAATTTAATCGTACAGGTCACGTGAGGTGACTCTGGCTAGCATGTTGATGAGCTAACTCCGACTAGCATGTTGATGAGCTATTGGCTAGCATGATGATGAGCTATTGATTCAGCCGTATAGGTTACATGAGGTGACTCCGGCTAGCATGTTGATGAGCTATTGATTCAGCCGTACAGGTCACGTGAGGTGACTTCGGCTAGCATATTGATGAATTATTGGTTCAGCCGTACAGGCCACAATAGATGGATCCGGCTGACATACCAGTTCATATTGATTTATTTCACCTGGGTTACTTATTCTTGTTGAGTTATTTGACACGGCATAGCTGTGAGATTGTTATTTTGGTTATGGTTTTGAGTTATAGTCACGCCTGTTATTTTCTGGGAAATTATACAGGTGTTACGTCGATGGGTAATTGAAATTGGTTTGAAAAGTTTTGTTTCGCTCACTCACATTTTCTATTTGTGCACCCCTCCAGGTTCTAGTAGCAGAGTTCCGTATCTACGAGGATTCGTAACACTTTTCAGTACAGATGTCTTCTTATGATGGTATAATCATTATCTTACTTTACTGTACTATACATATGCTTTGTATCACGTGTGAAATGGGTCCAGACCTGCTCACCACACACTCGTGTACTTAAGCACTTTTAGATTTTAATTTATTCACATTTTATACATTATCACATTTTATAGCTTCGTCACTTTCCAGGTGTCGGCCAACACGGCTCGATTCGGGGTCCTAGTGGACATTCCGGATCGAGGTGTGTCAAAAAGAATATAAAACACATGAAAGAATTTTTTTAATTATTTTAGCTGTTGGATTTAAATTTGGATCATTAGATCTTTTTCTTGACCGTTAGATTTGATCATATTAGATCTTAGCAGTTGGATTCAATGAATTTATAAATATAAAAGTAAAAAAAAATTCACATATATGGTGGGCCAACCTACTAACCCGGACGGAGGGGAATTCTAAACTAAATTTGCCCTAGAAATGAGTTTCGAGTTAAAACTCATAGTTGACCCAATGGTTGGAGACTTAGAGCAAGTTATGATATGTTTAGAACCTAAAATTTAACTTTTACTCGAAGTGTTGGAGTAGGTCTAAGGAGTCGAGCAACAACAACAACAACAACAACAACAACAACAAAGCCTTTTCCCACTAAGTGGGGTCGGCTGTATGAATCCTAGAACGCCATTCCGCTCGGTTCTGTGCCACGTCTTCTATTAGATCCAAGTACTCTAATGGCTTCTTTACCAATCGGAAGTGGAATGGAGAGAAACGAAATTGAATTCTCCCGAAGCATTATGCTGTTTACTAGCAATTGGGGAATCAGATTTTATGTGGGGTCCACCCAAAATGGGGATTTCAATTCCGGATATACCTAGAATCCAATTACCAAGAAATAAATGGTAATTGAATTCTGGAAGAAAGGGACCATCAACAATCAAATTTTTCTTTCCAAACTGCACTTGTACTTCTTTTGATATCCCAAAACACCCTTGCATCTTCGTTCCTAACGCTGCACCTCACCGTTACACTCTACCATTTGGAACGAGATGAAGAAGCTGAACAGCTTGCCCATGAGGCATTGCCCATTCGTGAAAAAGCATTTGGAAAGGACTCATTTCCCGTTGGTATGTTGTCATTTTCTTTAACAGCAAAGGTGGGGTGAATCTACAACAGAGAAAAAGGGGTAAAAAATAAAGGCTGGGATATGGAGGGAGGGAGCATGAAAGGTTCTTCGCAAAGGTGAAGTGGATTTGCAGTAGAGAAAAAGGGGGGAAATTTTAGAATGGGTTGGGCGGGCAGTATGTAGGCAGTAGAGAAAGATGGGATAAATTTTAGAAAGGAGGTGGGTTGGCAGAAAGATGGGGAAGAGAGGGAGAGAGAGAGGGTCACACTAAAAAAAACAAAAGGGAAAAATGAAGAATAAAGAACTGTTACTAAAAAAGAAAAAAGAAATTTGTTCTCTATACTAAAAATAAATAAAAAAATGATGGGTTTTGGCCCTTTTTCATCAAAAATAAAAAATAAAAAAAATGAAAGATTAAAAGTTTTATTAAAAATAATTAGCATATAAAATAGATTAGTTTAACTAAGGGTATTTTAGTAATCATAGTTTTCATTCCGATTCCAGACAGTTTTAGTAAACAACTCTAACAGAAATCTAATTCTGGTTCCACCTCATTTAAATTTCTCTTCAATCCAATTCCTCCTCAATTATATTCCTCTCAATTTGATTACGGATTAGTAAACACGCCCCAAGTCTTTTCTTAGAGTTTCTTCCAAAGTCTTCCTAAGTTTTCCTTTACCCCTTTGGCTTTGAACCTCTGTCTAGTAATTGCATTTTCTAACCGCAACGTCAGTAGGCCTTCGTTCCATATGTCCAAACTACCGTAACCGATTTTCTCTCATATTTCCTTCAATTTCAGCTACTCCTACTTTACCTCATATATTCTCATTCCTAATGTTATCATTTCTCGTGTGCCCACACATTCAACGAAGCATTCTCATCTTCGCTACACCCATTTTATGTACGTATTAATGCTTCACTGGCCAACATTCTGTGCCATAAAGCATTGCTGGCTTTATTGCCATCCTATAAAATTCCCCCCTGAGCTTCAATAGCATACGACGGTCACACAACACACCGGATGCACTCTTCCACTTCATCCATCCAACTTGTATTCTATGGTTAAGGTCTCCATCCAACTCTTCTTTCTTTTGCAAGATAGATCTTAGGTAGCGAAAACAACCGCTATTTGGTACTTCCTGATCTCCAATCCTCACTCGAAACTCAGTAGAATGATTTAATAGTATTCTCCTTTACTTGCAAGTGAAAGGTCTAATGTCTGAATCTCGTAGATGGTGAATTCGATATCAAATCAAATTGCCTATTGTGTGGTTTACCCGAACTCCCCCTTCCTCCCCCTTCCTCGTAATTTAAAATATATTGTTGTATAGAGAAAAACAAAAGATAAATTCCATAGGAACATTCGCCTTTCTCCATTACACGTAAACTGTTGAACACCAACACAGTAAGACGGAACTCCGGCCACATTCAAGTTTTTACATATATACATGCAAAACTCACAATGGCATACCGGATGCATTGTGACTCGAGCTCTGCCAATTCAGGTCGCCTAAGATTCCTCAAACTTTGACCCCAATCTTCTTATCAGCTACCGTTTCCTCGACTAGTAATCCAGATGATAGGAGGAGGGATCGCACCTTTTGGATCTCTACACCCTGAAACATTATTCTCTTACAAACATAAAGTACAATGAAAATGATGATATTTATTGCATGCATAGGGTAAGCGAAGAAGCTGTACAGAGTCGTGTTTGTCTAGCCGAAGTACATCTACCAGAGGCAGCACACACTTCAGTTTTAGGTGCGTTCATGATGATAAACTGCCACGCCTCACTACTCCAGCAAGCGCTTATGCTTGCACCATCCGATAGCAGTCACATATAGGAATATGGTCCCGGCAGTACTGCCACCAACTGTCCACAGGAATTGTGGCATCCCTGCTTTTTCTTTATCAAATAGGTCAATATGGATGTTCATGCCCATGACACCAGCTACAACAACAAAGCTACTCACAGCCAGGGTTGCTGTTGTCAACATGACCCCCATTTGGAGGAGATTGTTCTGTTTGTCATCCAACATTATGTTGATGTAATCCTCTGTGTCGTCGACGTACTCCCTCAGCTGCCAAGGAACAATCAATATACAATAAATATACATGAAATAAAAACAGTAATGTTACACATCTAAACAAGAATGAAGTCATTCATTGATGATAAGAGGAGCAAATTCCACATATAAAGATGAATGCATAAATTTTATACTATGTAGTTATGATATGAAAGAAGGATAGGATGTCAGGCAAAGGAAATTTTGGTCCAGGATTTTGGAGAGTAGTAATGGATATTGGCAATGAAAGCAACACGTGTTTTTTTCCAAGAACTGAATGAAGACTTTATAAAAAGATCCGGTTACATGTTTTAAACAAAGCAACATAACTTTATATTAGTTTTCTCGTACATAAGTTTTTGTGACATCCCACTTTCTTCTAGAGCAATAGAAGTTAAAGAACCGCTCTCCATTTTAAATTATGTTCACTTCAAAATATTTGCACCGAACAAAATTGAAAGGTAAAATGTACTTGCATACCGTGGATAGCTTGTTCAGTGTACCATCAATTTGCACAAAATATGCCTCCAAAAGCATTTCAAGCTCTTCTACATCGAGTTCCTTTCCTACAGCACTATGCGTGGAGCTAGTAGCGGTCCCAAGGCTGTCCCTTCTAAGAAATTGATGCCGGGGGTCATCAGTGTTTTGAGGATCACCTTCAAAATTCAAGTGATCCCCACCAGCTTCCATTGAGATTTCAGTGGGACCCCTGATACAGTACAACAGGAAAGTTACGACTGAAGAACTGACATCGCTATTAATTAAAATGAGAATGAGATTTTAAGTTCCCTTGCATGTCATCCATGTCTGATCCTGGAGCTTCAGGATCCATGTCATCTCTCTCACCCAAGGACGAAGTGGACGAATTTTCAAGATGTTGCTGAACCAACTTGTCAGTTAGATACATTTCAGCCATATCTTCATCATCATCAAGCAAGTGTTCTAGTTCATCCCTCACCTAGAAGTAATAGATGACAAATTTAGCACTGAGAAAGCCATCTAGTTTATCCATTGGTTAATCATGTCATCAGAAATGTAACTTTACAACCACAAGCCTCTACGAAGGAAGATCTCCATTTAATCTTTGCCGTGAAAGGAAAGGGTATGGATTATCAAATGCTATGCTAACCTTCTGAACACGGCCGGTAATTGCAACCAAGCGACTCTTGATTTGGCGCACGCGTTCCAAATTGAGAGTACTAATCTTTGAAGTGAGCTTATCTAAAGCTGGATGAGCTTCTTGCTCCAATGTTTTTGCCTGTTCTCAAATTTGCATAAACAAGGAAAACAAGTTACACATAATGGAATGAATTATTAAATGAGGCAATCCAATCCGGAATACAGTATCACTTACTTCATTCTCTAAGACACTGCAAGCAGCCTCAAGGCATGCCTCCAATGCAACAAACTCAAAAGGCAGAACCTTCAAACCATCACGATTCTCCTCCAAACCTTGCTTCTCTGTTGCCCCACCTTCCCCATTTCCACCAGCAGCTCTTCTCACTTGTGCATCTGCCTCTGCTTCTTCCATTTCATACCAATTTGATTCATTGTCATTGCCCTCCTTCTCCTACCCAAAATTAACAACACAAAACAATGACAAAATCACAATTAAATACAGTGTTCTAAAAATCGGCTTAGGGGTTAGGCTGTGAAGGCCTACCGCGACTTAGTGCAAATCGTTATTTACAAGATATACAATAAATTTACATAAATCTGCCTAGGCCCCTAGCCGCCTAGGCGTTAGGCTCCTGCCCACCGCTCGACTAGCACCTAGTGTTTTTTAGAACCTTAATTAAACAACACCACAATCAACAACTCAGCTTTTTTTTGGAACAAAAAATATTATTTGTACTAAGAGGGAGAGGGTGTGTTTAGCCTCATAATGGGTTAGCAACAATGTGGTTCAAATTAGCCTTTGGCGAGAATTGAATCTAAGACCTCTCACTTAACACTAAGTGGCCACAATACTCACAATTAACAATGTTAGAATTCCCTCCTCATGAAATTAAATGCCCATCTTTAATGCGCAGCTGTCCAAGAAGCAAAATCCTTGGACAAAGAAAGGTTTTTCCAGTTTCAAGAACTGAGTAAATGTAAAGCAGCCCAATATTGATTGCTTTGTCTATCCCCTTCCATAGTTTTCTAGAAGGGAGTTGATTATGAATAAATAAATATATATATATATATATATATATATTAATATATGTTTTTAGCTTGTAGCTCTTCTACAGAGTGTGAGTGTAACAGAAAAATAGTGAGTTCATCCAAGAGTGTGTGCGTGTTCTTGAGTTAGTCAGCCTCTAAAGTTTAGAGAGATTAGTGTTTGTAATCCCATTCAAATAGTGGACGTGGACTTTGTCTTGTGGTTTTTCCCTTCACATCGGAGGGTTTTTTTTCCACAAAATTCTGGTGTTTTTTGTTCACTTTTAATTTCTGTTTACTTGTGTTTTATTTCCTGTGATTTACACCAGCAGCAAGCTGCTGTTTTCGCTGCAGCAAACTCAACAATTGGTATCAGAGCCGGGTTGCTTTGTAGATAATGGATGTCAACACAAGTCGAATGGTGAGCCTAAATGGAAGAAGCTACATTATTTGGAAGTCAAAAATGGAGGACTTACTGCATTGCAAGGATATGTTCGGTCCAATTGAAGGTGACAAGCTAGAAAAAATGTCCGATGAGGAATGGAAGAAACAAAACCGAAGAACCATTGGAGTTATCAGGCAATGGCTTGATGATAGTGTGTATCATCACGTTTCGAAGGAGACTGACGCACTTTCGTTGTGGAAGAAGCTTGAAAACATATACGAAAGAAAGACAGCGGGCAACAAAGTTTTGTTGATGAAAAAACTTGTCAATTTAAAGTTCAAAGATGGCACCTCCGTCAACGAACACTTGAACGGGATGCAAAACATCGTCAATCAACTCTCTTCAATGAATATGGTGTTGGATGATGAACTACAAGCTCTCTTGCTTCTCAGTTCTCTTCCAAACAGTTGGGAAACCTTGGCCATTTCTGTGATCAACTTTGCTCCAGATGGAGTCTTGTCCATGAATCAAGTCACTGCTAGTTTGCTGAACGAAGAAACAAGATGAAAATCCACAGATTCTTCCTGCTCATAAGCTTTGGTTGTAGAAAAGAGGGGGAGGAATAAAAATAGAAGTGCTTATCCTCAGTCTCATGGGAGGTCAAGAAGCAAATCAAGGCCAAGAAAGGATGTTGTATGTCATTATTGTTGTTTAAAAGGTCACTACAGAAGAGAATGCAGAAAACTCAAGAAGGAGAAGAAAATGAAGAAAAACAAGAAGAGAAAGATACTGCTGCTGTATCCTCAGATGATGATATTATTGTTCTCTCGAAGTGTGAAAAATCATGCTTGAATATGTCTTATGAAGATACCACTTGGACAATAGACTCCTGAGCCTCCTTTCATGCTACTTCAAACAAGGCATTTTTTTCATCATATAAGGCTGGTGAAGTGAATCTAGAAACTGATCGTGGCAGTAAACTCATGCTCAATGAGGTTAAGACATGTGCTAGACCTACACCTAAATTTAATTTCTGTTGGAAAGCTAGATGATGCCGGATACAAGAATAAGTTTTCAAATAGGAGATGGAAGCTCAAAAAGGGATCCCTCGTAATTGCAAGTGGAAGAAAATGCTGCACTCTATACAGAACCCATGCTCAACTATGGAAGGGGGAGCTAAATGCAATGGAAAAGGATGCTTCGATCGATCTATGGCACAAGCGGCTGGGTCATATGAGTGAGAAGGGTTTGCAGATTCTTGCAAAGAAAGAAATCCTCCCTGAAATTAAAGGTACACACATAAACAGCTGCATTCATTGTTTAATTGGCAAGCAGCATAGAGTTTCTTTTCAAAGAAATCATGAAAGAAAATCAAATATTTTAGACATGGTTTATTCAGATGTGTGTGGGCCATTGAAAGTTAAATCCTTGGCTTATTTTGTCACTTTCATAAATGATCATTCAAGAAAAGTTTGGGCATATGCTTTAAAAATAAAAGACCAGGTGCTGTCAACATTTAAAAGCTTTCATGCTATATGGTGGAAAGAGAGACAGGAGTGAAACTGAAATGTATTCGCACCGACAATGGTAGTGAGAACTTGGGACCATTTAATGAGTATTGTAAAATGCATGGCATTAGACATGAGCAATTTGTTCTGAGAACTCCACAACACAATGGTGTTGCGGAAAGGATGAATCACACCATTGTGGAAAAAATAAGATGTTTGTTGTCTCATGCGAAATTGCCCAAAACTTTTTAGGGGTAGGGGATGAGAACATCATGTTATTTCATTAATTTTTCTCCTTCATCACCCTTAAATGGAGATGTTCCAGAGAAGGTATGGAGTAAGAAAGGTGTCTCATATGGACACTTGAAGACATTCCAGTTGCAGAGTATCTGTGCATATAACCAAGGAAGAGAGATCAAGGCTTGATGACAAGGCCAAGCAATGTGTATTCTTGGGTTATGAAGATGAAGATTTTGGCTACAAATTGTGGGATCCTGTAAGCAAGAAAGTGGTTCGAAGTCGAGATGTGGTTTTCTTTGAAGACCAAACAATTGAAGATTTTGAGAAGAATGTAAAATGTGATCAGCCTTATTTTGATAGTCTGATTCATTTCGATCCAATTTCTCCTGTTGTAGCTCACGATGTTGAAGGGGGAGCTGAACCAGAAATTACAGATGATAATCATGATGGCCAAGAAAATGCAACGGTAGATTTTAATATCGAAGAGAGTCAAGAAGAACAACCCACACGTGAACAAGATGTGGAGTTAAGAAGGTCCAGAAGACAATGTGTACCATCCATGAAATATTCGCCGCACGAATATGTCCTACTTACAGGTGGTGGTGAACCCGAATGCTTCCAAGAAGTGCAGTCTGATGTTCACAAAGAAGAATGGTTGAAAGCTATGCAAGGGGAGATGAATTCCTTGTATAAGAATCATACGTATGATTTGGTGGAAAGACCAAAGGGAAAGAAAGTTCTTCCAAACAAATGGGTTTTCAAGCTAAAAGAAACTGAAAACTCAAAACCGAGGTACAAAGCGAGATTGGTTGTGAAGGGGTATGCACAGAAGAAAGGCATTGATTTTGATGAGATATTCTCGCCGGTTGTGAAAATGACTTCAATTCGTGTTGTTCTGGGATTGGCAACAAGCATGAATGTGGAGATTGAGCAATTAGATGTCAAAACAGCCTTTCTACATGGTGATTTGCATGAAGATATTTATATGGAGCAGCCAGAAGGTTTTAAAATTAAAGGGAAGGAGCATATGGTCTGCAAGCTGAAAAAGAGTCTATATGGACTTGAACAAGCTCCAAGACAATGGTACAAGAAATTTGAGTCCTTCATGGTTGATAATGGGTTCAAGAAGAGAGCTTCTGATCATTGTGTGTTCATTCAAAAATCTTCCAGTAAGGATTTCATTATATTGCTTCTATATGTGGACGATATGTTAATTGTTGGTCCAGATGCTGGTAAGATTGACAAGTTGAAGAAGAAGTTAAGCAAATCCTTTGATATGAAGGATTTGGGACCTGTGAAACAAATTCTTGGCATGCAAATCTCTCGAGACAGGAAAGAAGGCAAATTGTGGTTGTCTCAAGAAAGATATATTGAGAAAGTACTTGAAAGGTTCAACATGGACAAAGCCAAGTCTGTAAGCTGTCCATTTGCTGCTCACTTCAAGCTAAGCAACAGCCAATGCCCTTCAACAAAGGAAGAAATGGAAGAAATGATGAAAATTCCCTATGCTTCAGCCGTAGGAAGTTTAATGTATGCAATGGTTTGCACTAGGCCAGAACTTGCCTATGCAGTAGGAGTGGTGAGCAGGTTTTTTGCAAATCCTGGGAAGGAGCATTGGGCAGCAGTTAAATGGATTCTAAGGTACCTTAGAGGTACTTCAAAGTTATGTTTCTGTTTTGAAAATAATAAGCCTGTTCTCGAAGGCTTCACGGATGCAGATTTGGTGGGAGACAGAGACACAAAAAGATCAACTTCAGGCTATTTATTTACTTTTGCTGGGGTTCAGGCTATTTATTTACTTTTGCAGGGGGAGCAGTGTCTTGGCAATCTAAATTGCAAAAATGTGTGGCCTTGTCTACTACAAAGGTAGAGTACATTGCCATTATAGAATGTTGCAAGGAGATGTCGTGGTTGAAGAGATATTTCAAAGAACTTGGTCTTCACCAGAAAAAGTTTGTCGTCTACTGCGACAATCAAAGTGCCATCCATCTCAGTAAGAATCCAAGCTTTCACTATAAGTCTAAACACATTGATATCAAGTATCATTGGATTCAAGATGTGCTTGAGAAAAACTTGTTGCAGCTGGACAAAGTTCATACCAACGACAACAAGTCTGATATGTTGACGAAGGCTCTTCCTAAAAGAAAACATGAGCAGTGCACAACATCAGGAGTTGAGTCGGGAAGGGGGAGATTGTTAGAATTCCCTCCTCATGAAATTAAATGCCCATCTTTAATGCGCAGCTGTCTAAGAAGCAAAATCCTTGGACAAAGAAAGGTTTTTCCAGTTTCAAGAACTGAGTAAATGTAAAGCAGCTCAATATTGATTGCTTTGTCTATCCCCTTCCATAGTTTTCTTGAAGGGAGTTGATTATGAATATAATATATATATATATATATATATATATATGCTTTTAGCCTGGAGCTCTTCTACAAAGTGTGAGTGTAACAGAAAAATAGTGAGTTCATCCAAGAGTGTGTGCGTGCTGTTGAGTTAGTCAGCCTCTAAAGTTTAGAGAGATTAGTGTTTGTAATCCCATTCCAATAGTAGACGTATTTTGGACCTTGTCCTGTGGTTTTTCCCTTCACATCGGAGGGCTTTTTCCACAAAATTCTGGCGTCTTTTTGTTCACTTTTAATTTCAGTTTACTTGTGTTTTATTTCCTGTGATTTACACAAGCAGCAAGCTGCTGTTTTCGCTGCAGCAAACTCAACAAACAACACAGCTCAATACTAGAAATCACAATTGCAATCATAAACAATGGCCATTAGACGAAATATTTAAACTTTTTGGAACCTGGATTTTCACGGGTTTGGTGGTGGCTTGGTGGTGGCGCAAAAGCCGCCGCTGAAGCTCCTCAATAAATGGTGTGACAGACGGGTCTCGGGAATTGAGCAGCAGGACCTCATGGGCGGTGATGATGGCCTTGATGTGCTCCAAGTTGATCACGATAGCTCGCTCTCGACCCAGCACCGTAGATGGGTACGAAAGAAGCGGATCCAGGATACGAAGGTCCCGAGCGGGTAGACCGGTCCGCCGCATGATGGCGTGCTTGCCGGCCTCTACAACCTGGGCTTGCCCGCTGGAGTCCAGAAGCAGCCATGGCCTTACGCCAAGCCCCTTCTTCCGCAGCCCGCCGGCCACCGACATGCCGAGGCCGGGCATTGTGGGTCGGATCGGGTCAGAGTCGTCCTCCGCTGGGACTGTGGCCGACTTGGATGGGTGGTGATTGGGATGAGGGATTCTCATCACGGCGGTTGGGAATTGGGATTTGCAGGTCAACCTCTCCTGAATCCCTCTCTGTTTTGTAAGAGCTGGGATGATTTGCTGTGTTCAAGTTTTGCTCTAATTTTGTCATAAAGAATTAAAGATGAGATCAGAGATGGTAGACAAGATTAATATCCCAGACTCAACTAGGGGAGAGATTTTGCAGTGAGCCCAAAATTCAGTGAGGTATTATTAGAGTCATGCTCGTTCTCATTTGACAAAGACTAATCCTATTCATATTATATTTTTATATTATGACATCTCATGTAGACAGTCATAGCATTTGAAAAATTTGTAAAACTCAAGGAAATGAAAAAGAAAGACTCATCGTATACCACAATCATTATTTAATTAACTAATTTTTCTTAATTATTAGTTTATTAAATAATGAACGAAATTTAAAAATATGATTAATTCAAATGATATGATTGTCCACATCATGCCATCTACAAAAACATGGTATGAATAGCACAATAATAAAAAAGAGTCACGTAATAGGGCATACGAGTCGTCATCAGACATTTGGGCAATAATAAATGGGAAATCACGCTAAGTTCTTCAAATCGACGATACAAATAAAGTTACACCCTGTTCGGATGAGAAAGTTGGAATGACATAATTTTATTTTCTAAAATTTATGAATTTTCTTGTTTGATTTTCCTAAAAGAACAATGGAAGTTGAAACATAATTTGTTATTTTTAAATTCTCACTCATGAAATTTAGAAATGACACTTATTTATATGAAATTTAAAATTAGAAATTGCAAGTCCTAAATTGCAAGCTTTTTTCCTACACGGAAATTCTAAATTTTCTATATTTATGAATCTAAACAAAGGAATTAGTGTATGTCAATTTATAAATTTTGATTTTTATCAAAAGTATAAGTTTATTTCTCACATTCAAATATAATGCTAGAGAAAATGAAAACATTTAGAAAAGGCATTCTGGGGAGGGATTTGAATGAGGTATGACCAAAACAAACGTGATTCGGTACTGAAAACTAAGCATAGCTCAGACTACGTTCCTACATATTAATCTCGCTATTGCGATCATCTAACATGTTGATATTGTTATTGCGATCATGTGAACAACCACAACGCACAACTGATGAACAAATCTATACCAAACTTGCTTGATGTATGGTAACCTTAATTTTAGGGCAAAATAGATCCAATGACAGCTTCCAAATATGCTTAAAATGGTCTGTCGGTGTTTAGATTATTTTTAATTTGAGGTTCAGAGATTTGTGAGTTATTGAAGTCGTTTCTGTTTGTATTCTTTCTTACTGTTTTGTCAAACATAAAATTTCATTAGAAGAAAATATTTATTTTAAGGCTAAATAATAGCTTTATTGATAAAATTAAACAGTACAAGAAGTTAGTCGAACAAAAATTATAATAAAAATGCAAAGCCAACTTCGGTTAGTCAATGAGCTGTGCCACTAACCGAAAGACGTTTTTTTTTTTTTAGTTGAAAGGTTACTTTATTACCAAGAGAGTAAATTGTAATAATTATCTTTTAATTTTAATCAAATTAGAGTAATGATTCATCAACTAAAAATTCATTACCATTGATCCCTCAACTTATCAAAATGTGTAGTAATAGTCCTATTCATCAATTTCGTCAAAATTTTGTCAAAATAAGTTATGTTGGAATAACCATTTATATAATTAGGGTCCCTCAACTCGTCAAAGTGTGTAATTATGGTCATTTTCGTCAACTACGTCAAAATTTTTGTCAAAACGAGTTATGTTGGAATGGTGTTACAATTGGGTTAAAGTTAAGGGATCATTTCTCCAGTTGAATTAAAGTTGAGGGACCAATGGTAATGAATTTTTAGTTGATTGGTCATAAGTATACGTTTTGATGATTTAAGGGACCAATGGTAATAAATTTTTAATTAAAGGATCATTACTCCAATTGAGTTAAAATTAAAAGATTATAACTACGATTTACTCTTACCAACACAACATAATTACATAAGAAGAGGCCTAACTACAACAAACACACAAACAAAAAAATAGACCTCCATTGTAACCAAGAGCCAAAAACATACAAAACAACGAAGCAAACCCTAACAGCTTTCTACATCGTCGCCGTTGGAAATCTGCTTGCCTACCAACTGAACCAACGTCCCAGCACACACCCGAAATCAAGCTAAAAAGAGCCCCAAATCTAGATGAAAACAGAGCCAACGCATAACCCCAGAACAGAGCCTCAAACACCGCTAGTGAGCACCACAACGGTAGCCGCCACAAATCGAAGGAAGCCAGTGGGAAGAAGTAGCCCACTAGCGATAGTGCCGTCAAAGGCAAACCCAACGAAGGAGGTGTTATGAAGACCCGAACCAGAGCTCAAGACACCTTCCAGGTGAGATCCCGATTAATCGCGGTGAACTTAAGTAGGAGCCTAACCAGATTTTGGAGTCGATGAAGGATGGAGCCGATTGGGATGGAAAATGAAATGAAGGGGCTACAAACAGAGAAATCAGGGGCACATGGGGTTGGAGGAAAGTGGAGAACAGACCCTTGGATTGGGGAAAATAGAAGCTGAAGGAGAAGGAGAAGGAAGTGAAAGGAAAATAGAGAGAGGAGGAGAAGAGTACTGCCACCAATCCTAGCCATGGCTAGGGCCTCTCATCAGTATAGATCCCTTCGAACTTGGATGCAAGCTTATGCATCAAACAAATGGAGGGTTCATCATATAAACGCTACTTATTACCAAAATCATCAATTTGGGGAGAAAGCATTACATTGCTACAGAATTTGAGCCTGCAGCTACGAAATGGATGGAACTGGGAAACTCACACAAAGGAGAGAGAACTCTCACGAAAGAGCTAGAGGACAGCAGTGACTGTATACATGAAACACCTTGGCATTGGGTACTACTTAAATTGCCAGTATATATCGATAAAGAGGATGCACTAGTACAACATTGATTAATGAACTTTTGCAGGTACAACATGGGATGAAAATGTTGCTATGGAAAAAAAAGCTAAGTCCAATTTTAATCTTTCAATAGATTGACTGGTAATCTCAAATTACTGACTAGAGAGGATAGTACGCGAACCACCTGCTAACCATAGCAAGACATTCTTCAGGTTTGTACTCCGGAGCTGCGTGGCCTCCTCCCTGCTCGAAGAGAAATTTTAGTTTAGCTTTTGCTCAAACAAACTGTTGTATATAAAAACAAAGTTAACGATGGTTTTTTTAATTCTTGCCTTTATAGTTGTGTGTGTCAACTGGTAGCTTTCATGTGTGTACTGCACTCGGTATCTGGGGAAGAATTTTTACATAGTGTAGCTTGAGAAAATTGAAAATTAATTTTCTTGCTAGATTGAACTTAAATACAAGAAAATGAATTAGAAATCAACCCTGCAACTTGTCCATTGACGAGCCATGGTTTCCAGTGACTAGCAACCGTCAAGTTCAGAGATTCTATCCAAGCAGTTGTAGCCATATAAGGAACATTCATGTCCTGGTCTCCACTGTCGATTTTTCAGCCCAAGATTTTGTCCAAGGATAAGGAATTAACGAACAAATAAGCGCTTCTTGTTAAAACTTTTGTAAGCTTGAGTATAAGACATAATTGATGTAAGAGTATACCACATTACCTGTACACCAGAACTCTGTAGCCTTGTTTTATGAGGTTTTCAAGATAAATAAGACTAGAGGCAATATCATGTATAAATGAAGTTTGTACGCTCGTATTGCATCTCGCCCATTCCTCAATACTCCCCTGATATTTTCATTTCAAAAACTCAGTTTGATCAGAAAATTATGTCACGTATGATAACTATTTCGTGGTTAGTTTTAAAACAAAATATGCAAATTGAAAACATATAGTTTTAGGTTTTTAGTTTTAAATTTGTGCACATTTGCTTATACATTTCTTCTCACTATCTTCCATCCTTCCTCGCTCTTCTATATCCCTCATTTCTGTCATGCATTCCCCTCTATCTCTAACACAAACTAAAACTAAAAATGAAATTGTTATCAACGGGATTTCGTATCATATTATTTCTAATTAAATTTTACTATATTTTTCTTTTTGGTAACATTAGAATATAACTAAATAATTACCTCCCGAATGTGGAGAGCGTTCTGAACCGCTTTATCATTTGCCCAAATATCAGAGAAGATATAGTTGTCTTTCTGCATGAAAAGCAATGTAGATACATGCTGAGTTAATAAAAAGTTTACATTGACTAATGCATGTGTGCGTGCAGAAATATATAGAGGGCAGCTCACCCGGCACCATTGCCTTGGAAGTTGAGAAAAAGGAAGGAGAAGTTTTACAGAGTCATTACTGAGATGGTTCGGGGTTGGGGATGAATCAATACATTTTGGTTCCAATATATTCACGTCATTTATGTCTTTGACACACTGTTGATTCAAATGTAAAGTCAGTACCTCTTGATATATCTCACAATATTACTCTTACAAGTAAAACCATAACTTTTTTTTAGGGTAAAGTGATAGTTTTTAGTGAGTTAGATAGGTAGTTATTAACGAAATAGGAAATTGATCAGGATTGAACCTCACTAGGACCATTCTATACTCACCTCTTTGACAAGGTCCAAGTCTTCCAGGCACGAGTCATTGTCTGGATCCACATCGATATACTCTCCCTTGCAGTTTGTTTTAGTTGACTACGAAAGTTTAACAATGACCACCATAAGAGAGACAATAATATCTCATTAGCAAAAAATTAGTTTGGATATATGTGTGTGTGCGCCCTCGTGCAAGAGCATTACATATAGAGATGTATTGTTGAATATTTTGTTACATTGAAACATGAGTCAAATAATTTTGGGTTCTCCCATCTATACTGTCAATTTGGATAGCGTTGGATGCTCACATTCTAATACATGCGTATAACTTAATCAAAAAAGCTTTTGGCAATCTTATTAGACAATCATCTCCAAAAATTTTTGTCACGCATAAAATGAACTGCAAAGAGTACATGTACAGGCTTTGTAGTTCAATTATTTAAAAGCATTCATATTTGCACCAGAAGTCACAATTTTTTTTATTTTTTTTTTTGTCAAACAGAAGTAGCAATTTCAGTTCTACTCCCTACCTCCCAAATATCGTTATAAAAGAAAAAGAAAAATAAAAAAAACGCTCAAAGGAGCATGCACGTGTTCAAGAGTTCTATTCATACAGAAATCATAATACTTTTAGGTGATGAAACCATGAAAAACAAATATTCACATTATGCCTCATCCTGAAAAGCAAACCTTCTTCATACATATAATAACTTCAAGAGTTAATTGTCTAATAGTTTTTATCCATGACTCCATAATAGTAACTTAAATATGGACAACCCACTGAAACATGTGCGTATTATATACGAAGGAATGCTAGCTACCTTCTCTATTTAGCTTATTCTTTGTACTTTGAGAGGAGAAATTTTTAGTTGTGACGGAAACGCGAGTGGTACATGTGTTTTTATGTAAGTGGTGGGAAATTTTATTTTTAAGTTATTAATTTTTTAATATACATATTTCACCATTTATATAGCGACACGTGATGTACCAACCTGTGTGACGGTTACACTGGAAAATCTCTACTCCGAGAGGACTTGGTAGAGCATAAGGTTAGTGAAGAAGTGAATGCATAGAGAGATAGGTGGTGGGACCTAGTTCTTATTATTTAATTAGTAATTTCAAAACATTGAGTTCTAGATGAAAGAGTAGAGTTCGCGAGTTAAAAGATGAGTAGAAAGGCCACCCAAAAAAAATAAAAAATAAAAAATAAAATAAAACAAACTAGAAAGATAGCTAGCATTCTCTGTTACGTAATACTGGCCGGCCATACTTTAGCAAGCACAAAAATATTCTTACATCAGGTACATGCATGCAAGCAAACAAAGCAAAGGGTATATATTCACCTGGTATAGTTCATCTGATATTAGTGCTTTTAAGTGAGAAAAGGGTACAACATAATTCCTATATCTGTGTGCTGAATGTATCGCCGGGTTGCCAAGCACATACCCCTGAGAATCCGAGACGTCATTGATGACTAGAAATTATTTAAGTAGAAAGGAACCGAAATGACTAAAAATTCAATGGCAAAAAATGTACTTTAAGGTTCATTGCTGGCGCAACTCCTTTTTCATTACCTGCAGAAGAATTAATAGAAAACAAATTAAAACAAATTAGTCCGAACGTAATAAAATGCAAGAGGATTAATTACCATCGGCTATTTCTTGAACAACAACAGGAACGACTATGCCTGAATAAGACGCTCCACCAATATAGAGTGGATTGTTGAGGAACTTGGGGTGATCTACAAGCCACTGCTCCACAACAGTGAAAAGAAAAATCAACAGTTAATTACTAGGGTTTAAGCCCAACAATTCATTTACCAAAAGCCTAAAATAACCCTTTTAGTGAATTCTCCAACCTTTCTAAGAAACTGATATGTCTGTGCGGCATGGGACGTGTCACTTATATTGTATCCTTTCCAAGTTGTTGCATATGAAAATCCTGTGCCCACAGGTGCATCTATAAATATTATGTTGGCAACCTGAAATTTTTGGGGTTATATAAGAAATATATGAAAGGGAGAGGGAGGTGGGAGAAAAATATTGAAGAAATTTATTTTTATTTCAATTTCAAATTAGTATAAATAATTGTCTTATCCTTATTTTGTAAATAATGTTTGTTGTACATAAGGGTTATATAAGAAAAATAAAGACGTGATCTTTTAAGAAAGAGATTCACACAAGATGGTAAAGATTAGCTATTTTATCAAACATAAAATCCCAAACAGGCACAAGGCAATCGAAGTTTCGCACCTTTGTCCATGAGTATGGGTTCAACTTCAATTTTGGCTTGTTGCCAATGGAATGTGCGTAGTCAAATGAAAGTGGACCTACAGCAAAATTACAAGTACATACCTTAAACCTGTTTGTAAGAATTAACTATACGAAACTATTATGTACTTATCGCGTATAGAGCTGCTTATTTTGGTGAATTACCCAGTCACAAATATTCGGGCAAGCCTTTTAAGGGGTAGGGTTACTTATCAGTAAAAGGATATATACATAACAGTACTGAAACAGAAATATGTACGTACCGATATTTACGTATACAAGGGTATGAAAACCAGAACACGCAGGACCTCCGGTGAGCCAAAGCACAAGAGGATCGTTCTCGGGACTCCTCTCAGACTCAATAAAGTAATAAAATAATTGCACATCATCATCGTCGCCCACTCCGACGTACCTTCATATAATTAAAGACATAATGTGATATTTCTGATGTATATATTGCAATATAACTAATGGAGCTATATTAGTTTAATCAACTAAACACATAGATTATATTACAAAAGATGAAGGAACATATATTATATATATATATATATATATATTTTATATGCATATATATATATGTATATGTATATAACAAATATGAGCAGCTTTGTTGCAGAAAACAGAGTGCAGGAAAGAGAGCATTTTGTTTCTAGTGATCATTCAAATCTATCTGCTGGTTTCTAAGTCAAAACCCATTCATCGCAGCCATATACATCTGGCACCAGATTAAACTTCACAAAACAGTTCAAGTTTACCAAATAAAACAGTTTTGGTACACTGCAAAGTTCTAATTTCAACAGTATTAGTTAGTATACTGAAAAGTTATCGTACACTAATCTCTAATCTCTGTCTATAAGGGAGGAAGGAATGCATGATTATAATTTTCAAGTGCTAATTAATAACAATGTTGGTCTAAATGACACATTATATTTTGGATAATGCTAGTAAGACTAAATTTGGAGACTGAGTTTTGAACACTAAAGGACATAGAAGTTGATGATTGGTTTATTACTTAAAAGTTGATAAACATGCTTATTCATATTTGTGACATATCATTTAGTTTGCAAATTTAGTCTCCCTAACATTATTCATATATTTTAGGGACAATACTTGTGTCCACTTCGTGAGTGAACCTATTTGTCTAAAATGTTATAATCAAACCATTCATTTTCAATATGTGAGAACGTTCATTTTTTATTTTTTCATTTTATTTTATTTTTGTTTGTTTGTTTGTGCTGAGATAATCTTTAAATGGTGATTTCTAAAAAGTTTCAGTCGAAACTTGGTTCAAACTTCAAAAGTTATGGCCCGAACTCTATCGTTTCACATGTACTCAAAGGAATGAATATAAGTGCACTTATAAAAAATAGAATATGATAAGTTTATAAATAAATAAATAAATATATACCAACCCAGTTTCAAGTTTGAAGGGTAGATCACCGGGAAAGCCCGGTAGGGAGTTGATGATGGACCAACTTGATGCAGCAACATAAATGTGAAAAAGGAGGAAAAGGAGAAGCACTTGCAGAAACATGGTGGATTATATGAAAAAGGAGAATCAGGAGAAGAACTACTCAGAAGAAGCACTTGAAACTATATATATATATATATATGAAGGGATTGTAGTCTGCAGCTGGGGTCCAATAAAATTTAATCAATTAGGTCAAACTATTCATCAGATAAGGACCCCGTAATAAGTGGTCTGTTATCCTTTCGACTTATCCCTTCCCATCTACCGTTAGCTCGATCTAGGTAGAATTGTAAAGCTCATGAGTGGTTTCCTTTTTCTTTATCGTCATTCTAAATTAATGTTATGGTTTGTTGGGGTCCATTTGAATGAAGTGATTCCCAAATGTACGTGATCGATGATAAAAATTAAAATAATAATAATAATAATTCTAGGGTGCGTTTGTTGCGCCGGACTATCTCGGACTGGATTAGCTTCAAGGACTAAGCTAGACTGGCTTAGACTAGACTAAACTGGACTAACTTAGTGAAGCGTTTGGTGCAGTATTGGACTAAGAAGCTGGATAATAACAAATTATAATATTATATTATTTAATATATAAATTATTAATATTTATAATGATCTTATCTTTTTCTTCATTTTTTCCTACCATTTCCTCGTTAAATTGGATGAAGTTAGCACCGCCAAAATATTCATCACCATCCCTGGACCGAGATCTTAGCTTGAATGCTCGAATCTGTCATGGATTTGAAGAAGCCCAAACAGGCCGAGACTTCCAGGCCATTTTCTAGCCACATTCGACCACATTTTGGCCTCGATTCAGGTAAAATCGTAATCTTGTCACTCCCAGCTTCAATTTGGTATATTTGTATGAAAGTTGGTTGTGAAATGGATCTGAAAGAGAGTCGGAAAGTTAATGATTGATCTAGGTGACCGGAGATGACGAGGAGTCTGTCGAGAGTGGTCGTTGAGCATGATGAGGACAAGAAAGAGAGGATAGTCTTAGCTAGTCCATGGTTATTGGGGGGTCTCGCTAAGACCTCTTAGTGAAGGGTTTTGTCCATGCTAGTCCCCTTTAGTCTCATTAACGTTAGTCCCAGCATGGAACAAACACAGTATTGGACTAAAAGCTAGTCCAGTCCAGTCCAGTCCAACTTAGTGAGGGCAAACAAACGCCCCCCTACTATCTAGTAAAAGTTCTTCGCACCACGTATTCATAGAGATCTGCAATGCACCTTAATCTGGTGCCAACTTCCAACCATCACATTTATGTCACCAAACTTTTCTCTCAAAAATACAAGTTACGTGGCAAAATGAAGGCCTTTTGAGACAAATGATTGGTGAAAATATTGTCGGTGCTGCGTGCAGTGATCGACGACCCAATTAAGCATGTGAGCCCCAACTCATAACAACCCAGAAACGCACAAGCTTGAAGAATAAAATATAAGCTGAGAGAGAGGGAGAGAGAAATGCAATGTATTTTTTGTATTAAGACAAAGACAGTTATTATCGAATGGTCCTTATCTAGTATTTACACTACTAGAAATTTTGATTTTACCAACAAAATGAATTTGTCGGTAAAGACTCTTTCACAACGAAAAAATTTGTCGGCCATTTTGTCGTCCAAAGCATGTCGTGCAAGACTAGCCGATAAAATTCAACATTTCGTCAGCTATGAAGTGGTTCTTTCCCGACAAAACATATTTCATCGGCATTCTTAAACCCCAACAAGAAATTATGTCGGAAAAGATTTTTTGTCGGCATAGCCTTACTCTACCAACAAAATTAGCTTCAAGGGAGAGAATTTTAATTTATAAAAAAATAAATAAACGCTTGAAAACGCAAAATAATTTCTAATAATGCTGCTTTGATTAGTAATATGTATATGTACAGTGGTTATACAAAGTATTATATTATACCATAATCCTATCCTACTCTCATTCCTCAATATCGGTTTAGCAATAGCTTCGCAATAATATCCTGCAAAAATAATACAAATGGTAATTATTATGTATGACAACATAAGAAAGAGCATCCTTAAAACCGAAACAATCAAATTGTAGCTAGGAATCTTTCTACAAGTAATAACATTATGGAGCTGCACTGATTCACACTAGATCATGAAAAAGATACATTCAATTGAAGATACTTTAACACAACAATCTGTTAGAAAATGGGGATGGGCTGCAATTAACACCATAGTTACACTAAACAAGGAAAACTTAACCAATTTGTCAACAAGAAAGCATGTAATCTCGTAATCAAGCGTATAGTCAGACTTGAATCAAGACTTGAAGTTTCACTTGCATCTTGGATGATAAAGCATGTACTCATGTAATCAGGCATATAGTAAAAGATATTCCAAACCTTAATAAGATGCAATTCTAAATGAATGAAGGAAGGTACAATAAGTTACGCAATAATAATTAAAAGATATTCAACTCTGGGATTAATTAGTTGCCCTCAAGAATACAAAGAAAATCCTCAAACATAAAAAATTTCTCACAACTTGATCAAATTTTATTAATGACGACAGTTGTAACTTATTGGGGAATCAAAATTGCTTACACAATGCTCCTTGCTCATGTCTAGCATAGACATAATCAAACTATTCGTCTATGTACTTGGAATAAACACAAGGCAGAGCAAGCAAAGCGTACAATATATTCCTAGCACAATCAAACTTACCAGTACAAAGCTCCTTGCTCAGAGTGTTGTGCACAATAGAGGGACAAAATATACAATATATTCTTGTCATTAGCTGAATGGTAGAGTAACACAAGTTAGGAATCCATGAGAAAACATGACAGAGGGATAATTCATACGATATACTTGAGATAAAATTCACCATCACCAGCCTCATAAGCAAGTGCAACTACATTAATTTCAAGCACACGCACCTGGAATAAAAATAACAAGACTAATTTAATAGTATTATTATTATAATTTTGATGAAGAGAAGACTAAGTTAATATAGACTTGCACTTGTCAAACCAAGCTATTAGAAATCTTTCGAAAGAAGAACACTGGACCTGAAAACATCTATTGACCAGAAAATTAAAAAAGAAGAAATAAACTCCAAATTACAGATTAAGCGAGTATAGATGGATCGAACCTTGAAAATTGAAATTTCAAACAAGAGAAAGGCTTATAGACTTACAATGATCTGGGTGTCGGCAACTGGTTTGGGTCTGGGTTTCTGATAGGAGAGAGAATCGTATAAAGAACCAATAGCAAACAAGCATCCTTGGCATGAAGAAAACACATTCAATAGAAGACACTTTGATACAACAAGCTGTTAAAAATTAGAAAATGGGGAAGGGCCGCAATAACACCATAGTGTTACGATAAACCATGAAAGCCTAACCAATTTGTCAACAATACGCGATGAAAGTTTGCAGCAGTAAACTGAACCGCTCTTAAGAACAGGATTACTTGTGCAACACAAAACGCATAGTTACAGCTCTGCCAAGATTGTACACATCTACATATGAGTTGTGTAACAACTACATATGTTGGATTATTCAAAAGATTTGCAAACAACAAGGAGTTTAGAAGGGTTTAGAGAGATCCTGGCAAATAGCTAACATTGTACATGTTACCTGTCAATTTGAAGAAGGCATCACTTGCATAAACTCCTTGCTCATGTCTGGCAAGTGCAGATCAGTTCTGCAAGGCAACACAATCATATCAAAGAAAATAAAAAATAAAATCATCAGTACGACTGTAAGAGATAAAATTAAGGCTGAACTGAGAAGGCCTACCCCTGATAAGCTGGATCTCTTCCCACAAACCAGCTAGGATGGCCATTAACTCTGGACAAGATTTTATTAATCACAGTTGCAGCTCTCGTCTTCTCTACATCACTTGCCTTGCATGATTCTTCAATGTCGGATCCTGCGTGTTACATAGTAAACTAAGACTCAACCACAACAAAAATTTGGTCACAATCAAAACCAGAAACCGCAATCAACATAGCTAGAACACCAAAAAGAATGTAATTTAACATTAACATCACAACCAATCATAGATAACAGGAAACCACAATTGAAAAAGTAATATATTACAACATTACTTGGAACAAAAAAAATTAAGATGTGGCATTACACGAACCTCTACTATTAGCATCATCTAGTGCAGATTCCAAAACCTTTGCCCTGTTCCTCAGTCCCTTCCACAAAACATTTGCCCCTCTGTGTTCGGTCGAGTCCCAAATAACATGTGGGGATTAGGAAGTGGATCAATAATCAAAATTAACAACCCAAATTGTCGTATACACCAAGCCTTGCAACTTAAAATGTTAAATTAAATTTTCCAACTTAAAACCCTAAATTAAATCCTACAAATTGAACTGGCAGACATAGAATTAGAGAGGAGAAGACATAGAACTGGCAGACATAAAAAAAAAAAAAAAAAAAAAAAAAAAAAAAAAAAACCTTTTTGAGGGCTTTGAATTTGACGGCAGTTTCGATCTCCAGCCGAAGGAGGCAGTCGGTCAGTCTGTGTATTTGCAGCGACGAGGGAGAGGAAGAGGGAGAGGGAGAGGGCGAGGGAGAGGGAGTGGGACGGAGAGAAATAACAGCTTCGTGTTTGACTAAAGTCCTTAATTTTTTTCTTTTTTTCTAACTCCGCGCTACTATTTTGAAACCGCGCTTTTATTCCGCGCCTTATTTTTGGTTAGTAGTTATTTCCTCAGCGGAGGAAATATTTTTTGTTGCCCCGAAGTCGTCGTCTAGTATTCTATGACAGCAGGGAAGGGGGCAGTTTACCCGTCAAAATTAAACTCGCCAGGACATTGTATTTATGCCGACAAAATGATCGTCGGTTAACATTCGAATTTTCTCGGCTAAAATTAATGCTATAAATTGATTTTGGCTTGAATATTTAGCCGATAAATTATAATTTTAGTTGGTAGATGACTCTTGTGCCTTGTCGGTTAAGAATTTGTCGGCAAAACAATATTTTCTAGTAGTGTTATAGTATACTAAGTAGCTTAATAAGTAGGTGACCCTAACTAACTAAGTCAGCCAGATGGTGGCACTTGTCACTACAAGATTATCCCAGATTATATCACACTTCACTCAATACTCCGCCTCAAACCAAACTGGGAACTCCAGTTTGAGATTGATACATTAAACAAAAAAACTCACTCAAAACTCCCTAGCAAACTCAACTAGGGAAACCTAATTTGAGGTTTGAACAATGCTGCAAGAAGATTGGACCATGAAGACCCTTTGTAAATATATATGCAACTTGATCAGAAGTGTAAACATACTCAACCTGCAAATCTCCCTGTTGCACTCTTTCTCACACAAATTGAAAGTATGTGTCCAAATGCTTTATCTTCGTATGAAACACTGGGTTTGAACACTGTGCAAGAGTTGAAATGTTATCACAATGTAAGAGTGGAGGATTTGGCAAACGCACCTTTAAATCTTTGAGAATTAATCGAATTTAGGCAACATCAACTATAGTATTGGTCAAAGCCTTGTACTCTGCTTCTATACAACTTCTACACAGACTTGCATGCTTTTTAGATTGCCAAGAAACCGGGTTCTGACCAAGAAAAACAACATCACTGGTGGTAGACCTTCTAGTATTGATACCAGAGGCTTAGTCCGCATCACTGTAAGTCATGATATTAAGATTAGGAGCATAGGAATATGTAAGCCCATAATCCTTAGTGCCTTAAAGATATCTGATAATCCACTTGAAAAAAAAGAAATGAGCATCTGTAGTATGAGACATACTATAGTATGAGCATCTGTAGTATGAGACATAAATTGACAAGAAGAATTGACAACAAAAGCTATGTCAGATCTAGTAAATGTGATATACTGTAAAGCCCCTACCAAACTTCGAAATATTGTGGGATCAGTCAAAGTTGTGTCTTCATCTTTAAGTAACTGTGTATAAGGTTTACATGGTGTCGGTGAAGCTTTGCAGGAAGTCATACCAGCCTTCTTAATCAAATTCATGGCCAATTGGACTAGGAAATAAAACAAATCACCATTGTCTCTGTAAGTAATTTGTAACCCTAAGAAAAATGTGAGCTTGCCCATGTCCTTCATATTAAACACTGCTCCTAATTCATCAATGACTTGTTGAAGTAATGTTGAAGCAGATCCAGTGATGATAATATCATCAACATACAACAACATAATATATGCATGTCCATTCATGGATTTGACAAAGAGACTAGTATTAGAATCTGAGACAATGAATCCCAAAGTTGGCAAGTATGATGCAAACTTAGAATTCCAGGCTTTAGGTGCCTACTTTAGTCCATACAAAGACTTGACCAATTTACAAACATAATCTAGATGATGAGGATCCTGAAAACCCTAAGGTTGCTTCATAAACACTTCATCATGTAGATCTCCATGAAGAAAGGCATTCTTCACATCTAATTGTCTAAGAGACCACTTATTAGCAGCTTGCAAGTGCTAAAACAATCATCACAGTATTGTGTCTTACAACTAGACTAAAGGTCTCTTCATAATCCAAGCTATGTTCTTGGCTGAAACCTTGTGCTACAAGTCTAACTTTATAGCTAGATAACCTCCCTTCTTGATCCTTCTTAATTTTATACACCCATTTACTTCTAATTATATTTTTATCAAAGGGTACAGAAACTAAGTCCCAAATTCCTTGTTGTTGAAGTGCTAAGAATTCCTCAATCATGGCATCTCTCCATTCAAGAGTAGCAACATCATGTTTAAATGAAGATGGTTCAATATGCTCAACAATATTCAGAACTGTAGTGAAACCAATACAAGGAACATCAATATGAGATGAAAAATCAGAATTTTCAAACTCATGCTTAATTGCAGGAAAAGGTTTATAATCCCTTCTAGTGATTGCATAGTTTTAAGTCTAGTATGCATTGGATGAGCAGAGGTAGATAAAACAGAATCATGATCTTGACTATGACTAACTAGAGAAGTAGAGCTATTAATTTCCAGAGAAAGATGTACTTCTAATTGAGCAGGGTTGTGGACAGGCAACATGGCATTTGATGCAGGAGAGGAAAAAGGAGTTGTAACTTGGGAAGAGGCCTATAGTTGAGAAGAATCACTTGAATAAGAAACCAAAGGACTTGAAACCACTTAAGAAGAATCTTGAGCCTGTGAATGTGAAGAACTATGCATAGAAGAACCAGATTAAGATAACTGTTGTGTAGAACCAACACTTGTTGACCAAGATAAACCCCTTGAATGAAGTGGAAACACAATTGGAACAAGTATGGGATGTCTAATATTGGTCTGAGCACTGTTTTGGAAATATTGTGTAGTTACAAGACTATGAAAAGGAAAAACTTTCTCATCATGAATCACATGCCTAGAGATAAACGACCTTTTTTTAGCCCTATGATAACAAACCTTCCCTTTATAACCTAAAACAAATCCCAAGAACACACATTGATTTGTTCAAGCTTCCAATTTATTCTTATTAAAAGACCTCAAAAATGGATATACTGCTGTACCAAAAATCTTCCAAGAACTCAACACAGGACGATGACCAAATCACTTGTAAAATGGAGACTGCATTGCCAAAGCCTTACATGACATTCTATTGATAATGAATATAGCATGAGAACAAGAATGAGCCCAAAATGAGGCAGAGATGATGTAGACAAAAGTGTAATGGCAATCTCAATAATATGTTGATGCTTTCTCTCAGCAATTTCATTTTGCTGATGTTTATGAGGGCATAACACCAAATGAACAATTCCTTTTAACTCCAAAAGCTTCTTAAATACCAAAGTAGTATTTTCTCTGCCACCATCAGACTGGAAATATTGAATTGTAATATTGAAGCGATACTGAGTAAATGCATAGAACTTTTCAAAGATAAAAAATACTTAAGGTTTATACACCAAAGAAAAGAACCAAGTAAATATGGTATAGTGATCAACAAAAGTCACATAGTATTTATATCCTTCAACTGATACAACTGGAGAAGGCCCCCATACATCATTACTTATTCTTTCAAAAGGTTTTACAAAGACATGAGAACTAGAAGAAAATACTTGTCATTTTCCTAGCAAGTACACACATGTTTATCCGCATCTAATTTATACAAGATTTAAGTATGAGAAAGCATAATATGTAATACATCATTTGTAGGATGTCCTAGTCTATGTGGCCACAGAGAAGCTTTCACAACTTGACCCAGAAATGCCTTTGGAACTGACTAAAACTGCTGCTGATTATTCTTAAAGAAAAGACTCTTTGGAATTTAGTACAAGCCTCCATTACTCTTTCCTCTCATTAAGATTGCCTTTATTGGCTTGTCCTACACCCAAAAACCCCATTCATCAAGAATTACATAATCCTTATTATTTATGCACAAAGCTGATGCGAAAATTACTTGACACTCAAATTAAACCCTCTTTTTATCAATTGTAGTAAGTACGTAAGTAGGGATCGTTCTGGACCGGGGATTAGGAGGGATTGTTAATCTCTTGGAAACTGACTCAAAAACGTAAAAACAAGATAAAACACTAAACTAGACTCAAAGAATGCAAAACTAAAATTTAAAACATTAAAACAAACCAAAAGACTCAAAACTAATTTTGGACGAATTTAAGATTATGACTTGATTCAAAATACTTTAAAACATAAACTAAACAGATTCTAAGCACTAAAGAACAAGAAAGTAAAGGGGGGGGGGGAAAAGTTTTGATTTGACAAAAATTGAAATAACAAAACAAGTTAATAAACTAAGCGGAATGTAAATATGAATTTGTGATGGAATGAATGGAATGAAGGCTAGCTAAGGGGTTCTTCTCCACACATGTTATACTTGCATACAAGATTGATTCTCAGTTGGTCTTTCGATAAATTATGAAACTCAACACTCCGGATTAATTAGGTCCGCTTAAATTAACCGTCAAGTTTTCCTTAAGTTAATGAATTGGATGGGTTTGCGCAACGCAATTCACAACATTCTCCAAAAGTCCTTTACGTGAACAGCACAATAAAGATACAATCAAAGATCATTAAGCATTATGAAAACTATAAGTGTTGACGAGGCATTCGTTACTATGATGAGCATGAAACTCGTGCCAAGAATTCATTTAACGCGATTGTTTATAAGCAACCTCCACTACTTGTGAATATAAGTTCATAACGATTAGGTGAAATTCACTTATATTCTAGCGTCATATTTATGCATGAAAATTAAGCGCGCATTCTTAATAAACATTCATAAATAAGTTATCAATCAAACGGTTAAACAAATTGAATCCACAACTTATGAAATTCCAACCAAAATTAATCAATTCATATTGCAAATATAAACATAGTTTCGAATCACCCCCTAGCTAAAGGGGGTTTAGTTCCTCATAACTTTGAAATCAAAGAAACACCTAAACATTCCAACAACTCAAACTTGAATTGTATGAACGTTTAAGCACTCTTCTCTTCCATTCCTTATACGTACAAAACAAAGAGAATTAAAATGAAACTTTGAAATCAAAGAAACACCTAAACATTCCAACAACTCAAAACTTGAATTGTATGAACGTTTAGGCACTCTTCTCTTCCTCGTTATTGTAGCACAAGGTTTAAGGATAGGTTGGTTGGGGGGATGGAAGTGTGGAATGGAGTGGAAATGGAGAAGATGGAGAAGGGGAAGTGTTTGTGTATTACAATGGAAAATGAGATGATTTGGTGAATGGAATGAATGGGTATTTATAGGAAGAGAATGGGTGTTAATGGATGTTTGTTTAAGGTATTTGGTGGATGGGAAAAGGTGTGGATGGTGGGAATTATGG